GCCCCCGCCCCGCCCCGCCCGCCTCTCGCTCACAATGGATCCCTTTTTCGCCGACGCGTCCCTTCCTCTCGCCCAGATCGTTTCCGAAATCCGCCTGGTCTGCCGGCGTTACTTCCTCGGCGTCACACCGTGGCTTTCCCCGTGCTCTGGGGGTGGGGGGCGGCGGGAGGAGCAGCGGCTACACCGGGGGAAACTTTTGCCTTATCTGCTGAGTCCTAAAAGAGAAATGACACCCTGTCGCTCACAGCAGTGTCTCCTGATTTTCTTTGAAACAAAACCTAGCTAGAATTAACTTATTTTAGCAGGCATTTTATAGCATAATCCTAAATCGACTGTGAAGTCTCTTTCCTTCTGGATCCACCAGAGGGGGGCGCGTGCCCCCACCCACCTTGGGGCCGCCCCAGTGGGCAGCCCCCCCCCGGCTTTTTCCCCTCATTCTACTCCGCACACGTCACTACTTTCAGGTTTCGGGACATTCGAGCCCGCCAATTAGGAGTCAGCTGAAGAGCGCGGAAGAGAAAGTAGAACCTGCCTCCCTCGTTACCTTCTAGTTTAAGCCACGCCCCTGCCCTTAGGACACTCCCAGACGTTATAAAAAGCCCCGCCCAGGTTTGCCCTTAGCCAGAAAGAAGTTTTGGCTCACTGACGGCTTCCTAAACGGGTCGATTAGTGAGGAAGACTCTCGACCCGGTTTTTTGGGGGCGCTTTTCCCCGTGTCCTGCTTGCCACGAAATATGGTAAGTGAGCCCAGGATTCTCAGAATGTCCTTTTTGTCTACTCGGGAGGGAAAACTTTTCGGACTTTGTGACTTGTGCGGTGAAAGTGAGGTTGCGTGAGAAGTGTGATCGTGGGAAGGGGCTCCCGCGGCGCGTGTAAGAAGGAAGGGGTCGGGATGGACTTAAAGGGGTATTACATACAGTTACATGTAAATGAGGAAGGTGTGGGGAGTGATAAAAGTAAACTGTGTTCTCGCCTTGAGTTGTTTCTCCGAAGTAGCGCTACTACGTCTTTCACTTTCTCCCCCCCTCCCCCCCGCGGGAGACGCGACGCGACTCTGAAGTTTTTAAAGCCTTCAGAGCGCCGTTCTTGTCCGTAGAAGGGAGCGGGCCCTCGCGTGGAGCTCCGGCTGATAATAGCAGACATGACCGCCTGCGTGGATGGATGTTGGGACGTTTCGCCCATCGGGAGGTGGGAAGTCCGTGCGGCAGAGCGCCCAGCTCAGCCCCATCTCTTTGGGGCATCGAAATCCTCGAAAAGTATCGCGCGCGCATCTCAGCTTTACGGATTTTCGTCGCTGAAAGAGTCGAGCTCTGTCGTTGGTTAGTGTGTTGCTGCAGACTGGGGCTCCAGCAGACCTCTGATCGTCCATGATAATTAGAGGTGGGAAGTTGGCAGTTAGGAGCTGGTAAGAGCAGGCTCTGAGCTGTGCTGGACAGACTTGAATACTATAATAGTATCCGAAATAATTACTGATGGTAAAAATGCTTTTAGGATCTTAAGCAAGGGTTATCCTTGCCTCTGCAACTTAAACTCTTGCCCAAATCTTCCAGGCTTTATATAGAGAAAGAAGAGCATTTCTCTAAAATAAAAATAGAGCTACCAGTAGAATCTTTATCTTGCTTTAAGGAGCAGGATATGACTTGATGGCCAAGTTGGCAGCTTCAGTCTTGTGACTCATCTTCCTTGCCTTTGTTTTTTTTGTAGATACCTGTTGAGTCATTTTTCAGGGAAGAGGGGGACATCAGCATTTGAAAGACATTGAAATTTCAAATACTGTTGAATAGCCAGCCACACTGCTTTCCCAATACTTTGCATGTGTCCACTAGTAAAAGAAACCCTTTCCTAGATAATACTTCTCTATAGCAAATACATAAAACAATAAAAATGGGAAGTTGTTTCTAAAAACATGTTGCAAAATGACCAGCATTAGCACTTTAGGCCACACTTTCAAAGGCTTCCTTAAACACCATAATCTTGACTAATGTATCTTAAAATGAAAGTGGCCAAGTTTGAACTTGTAGACATGTGGCTTTGCTGCTGTAAAAAGCTTTGAGAGTGTAGCACAATGCCAGCTACGGGTGACCAGGGCAGGACTTCTGAATGCACGTGGTACATATGTGGTGTCCAGCCCAAATCAAGTCAGGACTGCACAGCCGCACTGCATAACTCAAAATGGTGGTTGGAGAACATAGGAGATGGATCTGGAGCATCTGTTAAACTGACATTGTTCAAAAACTTGATTTGAAGGATAAAAATTTTATTTTCAGTTTAGAAGGGAATGTGGTGTTTAAATTGGGGTTAAGGTAAAGTGCTGTTTAGCTTAGTATAAACTGAAGGTTTTTTTAAGGCTCGCTATAATTCTAAACTCTACAATGTCCGGCTATCTATCTGTAAGTGGTGCAGACTATATCAAATGCAGTTATCTTCCAAATGTTTTTGCTTTGAGTCCCGTGCTTCAAATATATAGGAATTCTGAAGTAAGTTCACTTCATGGTTTTTATTGTATTGCCCTCCAATGATCTCATGCCAAACTTTCTAGAATAAGAAATGAAGATGTCTCATATTGTCCTTGTAAATGAACAGTTGGTATCTACCTACGATGGGAAGGAGATGCAGTATATGTGCATATCTATTAAATCCGAAGCAGCTTGAGAACTATACAGTTGAGAGTGTGTATAAAGTAGTGCTGATCCAGCTTTTAGAGATTTGGGCTAACATTTGACTCTCTCATTACTTGTACTAATATTCTAAGCTCAGAATCAATTAAACATGATTTTTTGAGTTGAGGCCATCCAGATATCTTTGGACTACAGCTTCTAATCATCCCTACCCAACACCACCAGTGCCCGTGTTGTCTGGGAATACTGGGAGCTGTAATCTAAGGCAGCTGGAAATTGCTAAGTTGGAGAAGGCTGCTATTTTAATTCTCAGGCTGTTCTCCCCTACCCTTTTTTTTTTTTGGTGCTGAAAGATAAGATAATAAGGCTACATTGCTCGCCTGAAATGACTAATCTGTTTAGGTGGGTCAGGCCTGAGGATATTGCTGAATATTCTCTTTGATGCATGCACTAGTTAAAACAAGCCCAGTCCTGGTAGGATTCCTAAAATATTTTGCTCCTCCTCATCAAGCGGAAGGGTACTTTTATGAAGCAGCTTTCACAAATGTAGGAGCCATGTGAGCTCGCAACTCTATTCTGTACCCTTCGGGCTTTTGTTCAGCAAACCCCTCATAGCCAAGGGTTGGTAGTGTTTCCTTGTTTTCCTCTGATAATATATCTACCTTCTGGTTGGAAACCAAAAAAATGAAGACAAAAATCTAAGGGTCCCCTTTCCTCCAAAAGATGCTCAGTCTTCAGTACTACATGTGCTCTTTTCTTTGTGACACGTCTGTCTACTTCACACAGCTTCTCTTGTCTTAGCTTCGTTGTATAGTCTCTGCAAGGGTTGCACTAAGTTTTGCATGTTGAAGTCTGCCTTCATTAAAATGTCCCAACACTCCAGGATGTCCCACTCCAGAGCTGGGTATTTAGTGTCAGCCCTGGTACGTGAATGCATGAAAAAGCTATGGATGCTGGTGCTGAGTCTATGAAAAACAGAGCTCATCTGCTCGCAGTTGATAAGAGTGCCAGGACGTGATGATGCTTCCTGCCTCCTCTTTGCTAAATACAATGTGTTGCAACAGACATAGTGACTCAAGCAGGTTTGAGTCCCACCCAAAGCTTCTAGTGCTGATTAGAAGTGAGCAATATTGTCTGGGGGATTCAATGAATACTTCAGGGTTGTCTAACTTGCAGAAGATTACTAGATCATATACTGGTCTGGCTTGCACATTGTCCTCAGCCAAAATATGGTTTGTGTTTGGATTAACAGGCTGGGCAAATCTTGTTATTTGTGTATTATTCCACAAACTATGGGTAAGTGCATTGTGGCTTACCAAGATGTCTGAAAGTCACTGAGGACATGTTTGAGGCTGTCTTCCCTCAACCTGGTGCATTTCAAGAGTTTTGTACAACTCCAGTTCCTACTATTCTCTATCAAGCAGCATAGCCATTGGGCATGTCTGTTGAGTTATAAACTAAGGATCACCCATTGTGGAGTCTGATTTGATTTACCTGGGTTGTTGAATAAACCACAGTTGGGTAGATCACACAACAGGTTAAACCATGCACTAAGGTTTACGAACCACAATGGGTTTGTACAGTATGCTAAGCTGCAGTGTGTTTTCCTTGGTTCTGGTGTAGCATCTTGTAGGAACTATCATCCAATGGGTCTGGAGGAAGCCAGGGTGGGAAAGGCTGACAAACTCCTTTCTCATACAAACACATTCACATGCTACTGTAGTTGAGATTGTCTTTTCTGTCTTAACTCACTCAATTAGCTTCTTCCCATTTCTGTCACTGTTTACTTGAAGAAGGTCCATAGCATTCATCCTGAGTTAACCCGAAGTAAAAATTATGGAGGAATCCAGTGCAAGCCTGAAAGACTGAAAGAGCAGTTTGGTCTAGTGGTGAAGGCACCAGGCTAGAAAGCAGGAGACGGTGAGTTCTAGTCCTGCCTTAGGCACGAAAGCTGGCTGGGTGACTTTGGGCCGGTCGCTCTCTCTCAGCCCAACTCACCTCACAGGGTGGTTGTTGTGAGGAAAATAAGAGGAAGAAGGAGTATTCACTACTTTGAGTTATTTATAAGCATAATAAAGGTGGGATAAAAATAAATAAAAAATAAAAAAGACCCTTTGAAGAGCCTGATACAAAAAGGGGTGAGCTCTTTTAAGAGAGCTGCAAATCAAATAGGGAATGTCCATTGGCCTTATCTTATTCAATAAAGAGCATTAAATATTTTGGGGGAGCTTTTTTACAATTTATTGTAGGAATGTCTCCACTGATATGCTTCCCTTTGTGTAGGACTGAACCCTCCCTCCCAATGCTGACATTCTTCAGTACCTGCCCCTAAGGGAATTCTTGGAGGTGCATTGGCCTCCAAAGTGGCCACCAAGCCCAGCCAGGTCATTGTGACAGGCATCAAATTGTGCAATCCATTGCCTGCTCCTTTGAAAAAGAACAATGATGGCTGACCCTTAGCCCTTCAAATAACACCTTTAAAGCCATGCTGTTTATCTAATGTCTTGTGTGTTGTGAGCCAGATGATGACAGAGCCAGCAGGTTTAAGCTGGTTTGGGAAGTTGGGGGTAGGAAGGGAAGAGACATGCTAAGTTTAGGATCAAAGTAGAATTGAATGAGTAACTGTTGTTACACTGGCACTAGATTCTGCACACAAAGTTATCCTGGTCATGTAGCAATCAGGAATGTTCCTTGAGTTCCAGAAAGCTTGAAGCAGCCTGTTTAATTTCTTCAGAAGACAGGAAAGTAGAGATGTAATTCCAGCATTCTCTGCTACTGATTTTAAGCCAGTTTGTTATATGCTATCAGTACTGCTCAAAGTATGTAAAGACATAATTGGACTAAAATTAAGGCGCTTTTTAAATTATTTTGGAAGCATTTTTAAATATCTGTAGTGTGCCAATTTTAAAGATTGACATTTTTTGCTGGGGGTGGACTCGACTCTATGAAAGCTTCTATATTCTGTACATAACCGCATCTCAGGATAACACTTGCTAGGCTGTGCTTCACATTCAGGTTCCAAAAGGCGTTTGGAGTGTGCGGGATAACAACTAGAGCACCTGACTGCAATGCTGAAAACAGCTAGGTCTTGGGGAATAGTGAGGCAGGTATGAAGGGCAGCCATGTGATTCTGGAAAAAAATGTAGCTGCTTTAAGGTTCACTGAACAGGTGCCACATCTGCCCTCTTGCGCACACACAAGCATCTTTCAAAGATCAAATCTGAGGCCCTTGCAGCTCTGACATTTAATGTAGCGAATGAATAGGACTGCAGTCCCCCAAACACGTCGTAATGAGCCAATACTTTTTTAGATGCTGCACCTTTTAAAAATGAAGCTAGTGGCACTTCTAGCCTTTTCTGACCCATGACCTGAGTTGGCAACTGGTTTCTGAGTTTTTCAGCAATGGTTGAAAAATAAACTCGAATCCAACAGTGTAGTTCTTTAATGCACTTGGAGTTTTAAGAAAACGCAAAGCTAGGAAGTAAATTCTGAACCTGCACAATGCCTGCTTCTGCTCGTTGCCTCGTACAGATTTGTCATTTAAAAGAGTTCTTCAGATCAAGCTTCCCCAGCCTGACCCTGCCAAGTGTGCCGGACAATACTTCCCATAATCCCCATCATCAAGCCTTTTTCATGCTGGCTAGGCTTCATCACTGTCTACCTGAACTGGAGATCAAAAGGCTGGGAAAGGCTGCCTTGGCTGTTTATTTGCTAGCAAGCTATTAAGTAATATAGAATTGTTCTGAATGGGTGACTTTTGTGCTTTATCCAACTTCCATTTCCAGGAGTTGTGGAAGCAAGTGATGAACATACATATTGAGAAGCAGGGATAGAAATTGGCTATTGCAATGGCTGGCCCTCAACCACCCAGTGAATTAAAACTAAGTAGTTGTCAACATCTGCTTACACCAAAGTTTCAGACGTAGCTGCACCTTTACTTTACCCAGACAGAGTAAAGGAACAGAGCTAATAATTTCCAGCACAGCCATGCCCTTAAGTCTTGTTAATAGCTCATGCTTTACGTTGCGTGAAAACAGAGGATTATATAGTGCCAGATGGGACTTTCCTCAACTGGTGAGTGGTTTATTCATTGCAGCTAATTGCTAGTTGTGGCTCACTTGTTCTAGAATAAGTATAATGTAAGTGGTTTCTCTCCACAGCGTGAGTGTATCTCCATCCACGTTGGCCAGGCTGGTGTCCAGATTGGCAATGCCTGCTGGGAGCTCTACTGCCTTGAACATGGTATCCAGCCAGACGGGCAGATGCCCAGTGACAAGACCATTGGGGGAGGAGATGACTCTTTCAACACCTTCTTCAGTGAGACCGGAGCTGGCAAGCACGTCCCCAGGGCTGTGTTCATAGACTTGGAGCCAACTGTGATTGGTGAGCTACTGTCAGCAATATTAACATTTCAGAAACACTAAGTGGCACGAATGGCTAGAAGTTCATGGAAGAACAAACATTTTTTACTAAAGTCCAAGGTCCAATCCCTTGCATTTCAGGTATAAGGGGCAGTAGGTAAAAAAGAAATCAGACTTAGATTCTGGAGAGAATTGTCACATATCTGAATGGACTCTATTGAACTTTTTGACTGGATATATGATGGTTTCATGTTTTAGTATAAATAATTTGTGCTAAAATTATTATTTTTTACCTATTCAATCATGATTTTTAATTTAATATTCTTAATGTACAGTGCTGTGCAAAAGTTTTAGGCAGGTGTGAAAAATGCTGTAAAGTAAGAATGCTTTCAAAAATA